CCTCTCCCGACGCCCCTGCATCGCGGCGTGCCGCAGACGACTCGTCACCGGAAGACAGTTCCCCAGAACCTTCTCGAGAACGTTCCTGTTCTTTCGGGAGTCGATCCCGATGTTCTTCGCCCACTCCACCGCCGCCGCCGCCGCGGCCGCCAGCAGCAGCAGCCCCTCTAACTTCATCGCCGCTACCGCAGCCCACTCCCATAAGCGCCAGGCTTTTGAGAAGCTCGCACCCGATGGCACCGGCACCGACAACGAAGACCGATCTGGAGAACAGTCTCCGCTGGAGGGCGTCGCCTAGGACTGCCCGCTGGCCGTCGTAGCGGTCCCCCCTTGCGGCACACGCCTTCCTGCTCTCCAGCAACAGCAAACATGAGCAACACACATGGCGCGGCACAGCAGTCAGCCCGTGAACGTACACGCATAGATATTGCCCTCGTCGGCCAACACACCCGTGTAAACAAAATCAGGAGCAACCGCTGGTGACACAAGATACCACATCCCCTGGCCGATTTTCAAAGCTCTTCAGTATACTCCACGAAGAAAAGGATGCCAAAATCAGACGAAACGTATTCGGAAAGACCTCGAACGAGACGGTTTCAATGCCGTCATTTTTTCGCACCGCTACTCTTTCTACCGTTGATAAATCGAGCTGTGAAAATCGGTCCAGGGGGTGTGATATCTTGTGTCATGCCATCTTCGGCAACAACCGTCAGGCCCCCTACGGTAACAACCGTTTGGTTGCACCGAGGCATCTACGCCAAACTACACGCGATAAGCCGCGTTTGTGCGACACTAACCAACAACGAGGGAGGCAACATAGAGAGCAAGGCTCCAAGCTGAACGCTGGGGATTTCTCTTCGCGCACTCACAGCGAGGGCAAGGGTGACGGCAACGCCTCCATGCAGTCGTAGTACAAAAACTGGCGGGTCGGCATGAACAGGCTGGAGCACCTGATGGAGGATTGAATCGAAAGACAAGGTTATTGGTCGAGGGGGGTGGGGGAGAGAGAGGGAGAGGGACAGAGAGAGGGACAGAGAGGGAGAGAAAGGGCGAGCGAGACAGAGAAACAGAGAGAGACACGAGGGGGAGGGGGGGAGGCAACAATGCACGCGTGGGGGAGCAGGCACGGCGCGAGAGAGTACCGGGTCAGGCACACGGGCGAGGAAGCAAGCAAGGAAAGGTAGAAGGGCATGCCAGCAAAGCAAGCGGACACCAGCGCAAGCAACAAGGAGGCCAACACATGCACGCGACGTAGAAATTGCGAGAAACTTAGTCTTCGCGTGCTCTGGGTTTTGAACATGCCCATCCTCATTCCCGTTGCTCTGGTCAACCCCCCCCCCCCCCCCCCCCCCCGCCAAAAAACACAAAAACCAATATACCCGGGGGAAAAAACCCGCCCTGGTGCGCAGACACAACTTTCCGGCAAAAACGGTCCAAGACAGCCCACAAAAAAAAAAGTTAAAAACCCCAAACCCAAAAGCCCCAGGGGCAACCGCCCCCGAAAATCCCCCCTGC